ACCTCGGAGAAATGGCTGCGTCTATCGTGGTTTCCGGAGCATAGACCGCTCTGGTTTAGTCGTTTGCGGACTGAAATACCGCGAACTTCCCTTTTCTGGTGTGTTGTGTTTGTGCGAGAAGTACAGGCATAAACTGCTGCATACATTCCAAAGCCACACTAGGAAAGAATGCCAATATGAAGACGTCTTCGCCATACGAAGAAGTCATTTGAAGAAAGCTACGTCGAGGCCTACTACTAGAACATCTGAGGTGGTGAAAACGGCTAAAAATTATTTCCCTCGTGCGTTCTTTAAGTGCGTGATAACCTAGGTCCCTTGCGTGAGCGTGCCATTTCGGAGACGTGTATAACTATAGGGGGTAAGAATTTCAAGACATCACTTCCGATCAGCTGATCAGCGCGGATTCGTGTCGTCCGTGTGAACGTTCGGTAGATATTAGCCGTTATTTCTACATTGCATGCTACAGCTTGGCAGCAACTGTGTACAAATTGTGAGACATTCTCGTTGTCTATGTCAAACGAGTTCATTTGTGTGAGCATATATGCATGCTGCAGTGCCTGATACAGCAACATGCTTGCTAACGTTAGTCAAGAAGCATGTTGAGCGCGTTAGTTTAAAGTCGCTTTATGTTAACAACTTATTTCTTACCGTAGCAGTTGTGCTTAATAAATTCACGATAATGTTGTCTTATTAATTTCATGACGCTTCTGTTATCTGTTTCAAGTCAAAATGAATACATTTTTAGCGAACTCGCTGAGCCCATGAGAATGCGAAATAGGAAGACAGGGGTGCAAAGGCCAATGTGAAAATTTTACTGCCCAACTACTCAGCTTTTTTATTGTAACACGAATGCACTTCCTCTCGAGAAACACTAATCGAAAGTTAGAGATGACGGAGGAGGTGGCAGTTGCAAACAAGAAAGCCCGGCTCCTGTGATCGATAACTGCATGTATTTTTGGCCTTGGTGTTTGGCAGACTGGTCGCGATTTTTACAGCGCAGCTCTTAGGCGCCCGTTTCCGGCTTGAGCGGCGTCGCCGTCGGCGTCAGCATAACCGCGCCGTGCATTATCGGACGCGTGACGTCACTGATGACGTTATCAGTGACGTCATCGCAATGACGTCATCCTCGTCGTCATTGCCAACGTTATTAGATTAGCTCAGTTACGGAACTGCTCATAGACGCCGCATTCACGGACAGTACCACTGATCTCTATGACAATTGCTGGATCGCGCTTCCCCGCACTGAAAATGAAGTCACCGTCGGCCATCTTACGAGATATGCTCTAGCGCTGTCAAGCCTAGACAGTTACCATGGTTAGCGTGTGTAGGACACGTGACAACAGAGACAACCGCCGCCTTGACAACGCTTCCGTGGAACCGGTAAGATGGCCGACTGGTGGCCTCAATCGCGCAATGAGCTCGAAGCGGGGAAGCGCGATCCAGCAATTGTCATAGAGATCAGTGCACAGAACCACCCTCACTCACCACGACTCGCCAAGCGTCGCTCGACGCGCCGCCAGACGGCTGCTTTGGTAACTGAATCAGGATACGTATGTTTCAACGTTACTAGAAACGTAAAAACCAGCGGAAAAAAAAAAAAACTTTTTGTAGTAAGTTTTATTGGAGTTTAGTACAAAATGAGGGGCGCGTGATGTTTTCTAAAATCTTTGGTTTGCAAGGTTTTGCGGTACAATTAATATTGTTTTCATACAACCATGCCTCAGCGGTGATTTCAGGTAGCGCGTCCCGACCTAGGCTCATCTTGACTTCGGGGTAAATTCGCGGCGCGTCAGCTGGGGAGACGGGGGTGGCATCCCGGTGTGATTTACGTCTTGCAATTTACAGTGTTAATAATTTTTTCTTTAACCCTGTAGCCCTTTCCACTGTATCTGTTTCGGCTCCGAAATGGCCGATTGAAGCCAAAATATATGTTAGGTGCAGTTCCTCGAGTGACCGCTGCAGGGTAAATGGCGGCGTTGTGATCGCCATTTGGCGCTTCAACTGGGCTTTTTGGAACGCATAGTTATGAAACGAAAATATAGATGGCGCTTCGAACGACGCTTGGCGGTTTGAAGTGAGTGAGGGGGGTACCCCCCTCCACGGGAGTTCCACAACTGAGGTAATCTAATAACGTTGGTCATTGCCATCATCACGATGACGTCATCCTAGTCATCATCACGATTACGTCACTGATGACGTCATCACTGGTGACGTCATCGTGATGACGTCATCACGATGCCGTCATCCTCATTGTCATGGTCATCATCACGATGATGTCACCTTACTTCACGGGGGTCACGTGACCTCACGGGAGTCACGTGACCTCACGGTTACGCCGACGCCGCTCGGAGGGAGGAGTAGCACGCAGGATGAGGAGAGAGGAGGGTATACGTTGCCCCCAATACCCTTTCCTCCTCCTCCTCAAGAGCTGCGCTCTAATTTGGTGTTACAGGGGGTTGTAAACGACTTTCATTTTTTCATGGAAAAATAAACATTTCACAGTGTTCTTCTACAATGTTATCCTTGTCAAACATTTGTTGCGGCAACAAATAAAAGGTAGAAAACATATTTTGTTAGTTTTCCTGTGACAAATATATGTGGGAGTGTTTATCGAAAACTGGATAGTGGATACGGCGCTGACAGCGGATGCGAGCCCGTGCTTGTGGATGCTGGTCATAGACGAATATGAGATATCAACTATGACATGAATCCTCTTTTACTTGAATATAACACGATCAGAAAATAGTACTTGGAAGCAACCCAAAGCTATAGGCACCTACGCTCCTATTCATTGCATTATACCGTCTAAAAATTGTAGAAACCATAAGAGTGCATATTGTCACGAATGACAAAAGCTGAGGCGAAGAATAACTGAAGAAACTAAACGTTTAATGAGGCGAACATGTGCCCAAAAAAAAAAAGGAAAAACAGAAGATGAGAACAAAGCGTCGCGGGCGTCGAAGTCGGCGTAACAGCATGTTCGAGCGCTGGGGCGAGACTGACTGCAGATCGCCACGCGGAGCCCCTTAAGGAGTATTCACACGAGGGAGAAATCCCGGGGATTTCTCCCCGGCACGCGCATCCCACGGCGAAAACGTCAGGCTTTGCGATGTGCAAAAGCCTCGCGTTTTCATCTCGTGACGGCGTGCCGGGGAGAAATCCCCGGGAGTTCTCCCTCGTGTGAATACCCCTTTATGCACACGCGTTGGCCTCTGGAACAATCGACCTGGAAGGTTCGGCGACTAGAACATTCGCCCCTCAAACAGGCAACAGAGTTCTCAAATTTACCAGAACATTACACTGCAAGAATAAACAAAAGGACGCGTAACTCCCGGGAATCGAGCCCTGGCTCTCCGCGTGGGAGGCAAGCGCGATAACCGTTAGGCCACGGCCTTTTTTTTTTAGTTTATTTAAGTTTTATATATACATGATTAAAAGGATGACAGGCTTTTTTTCCAACCAGAGAAACATGTCTTGCGTGGTTACAGTGTCGCTCGGACAACGGCACGCACTCCCGGCTTCGGATCCGACAAGGCTAGCACTCTGAGCTATCGCTTCCTCACAATCCCCGATAGGTTTATGTCCTCAGTGAGGTAAAGGGCACATGTTCCACAATAAAAAAAAGCGGCTGCCGCCCGCCGAGGGTCATGGCGCTTCAATCTTCACCTCTCGAAGTGAGTTCTCGATTTTGCAATCTTGCATTCAATTGCGACCAGCACTCTAAACCAGGTTGCTCCGTTACTTCAGTCAAAGAGCAGACGTACTTAAACCCGTCGACGAAATGCTGCCAGGCGGGCTTTTCTCTCTCCGCTACTTCTAAGTGGTCCGTCCTCGCTCTCCATATTGCATGGAGGCCAAGGAGGGCTAGTACTTCCCACGCCGTGCTCTCTGGCCCCTCTCCGAACTTCAAAAATTTTGCCCGTTTCCATCCCACATACAAGTCGAACCTCAAGACCGCTCGGAATTGTGCCCAAAAAAGTTCCGCATTGGTGCAATACAAAAACACACGTTGTAAAGTTTCCGGCGTTGGATACAATACACAATTTGTAGACCATGGTTCATAAAACCCCTTCTTGACCCGCCAGGTCTTGACAGGCAACACTTCAAAATGAAAGCGCGAAAAGAAGTTTTTGGTACTTGTTTTGACGGGTTATCTCCGCAGCCGTTGAAAAACATCCGACTCGACATTCCTTCCATCCACCACGCGATATAACGGCGGCGGCGTAAGCAAGTCTAGAGTGTCCCAGTACAAGGTCTTCCTATTAACCTTCTTCAAGTACTCCTCCGAGAACCTTGCTTTGCAAAACTCAATCGCTGCCGCTATTTCCTTATAAAACTTCAAAACACGCGAACAGGAGTTCCCGGTCTCACCCTCCCTCCCAGATTTACCGTTAGGCCACGGCCGCGCTGCCTACTTGGCGCGCGGCAATATTAACAATCATGTGGCTGCAACAGAATCTACTTGCAGAGTTCATTTCCTAAAATGATGTGCGCAGGGGCTGCCGACGTGCCCATGACCCCTGATTTCGCAATGAAAAGCCAGCGTCCCGCCGAGCTTGCCCAGAACTTGGCCGGCCTTGCGGACCGAGCAGGCTGCGACGACAGCGCCACCACGCTCGCGTGAACGGAGGGGGCCGGCTTTCCGAAGTGCGGCTAATCGGAGCTTGTCAACTGAGCCGATCTAGTAACGTGGGGGTAACTAACCACTTTTTATATATCGGTTTTGTTGTTTCGTATCTAACCCCCCCCCCCCCCCCCCCCCAGCACCTTGGCGGATGCCTCGTAATCTTATTTTTCGCCGCCTTTCACCGCTTCTTTTCACCCCTTACTCCGGAAAGCGTTGTCTGACACTTACATACACTACCTTATTGCACTGCATTATAATTGCACAACTTTCGCAATTAATACTGGAACACGCGTTGACTATTTTCGCCGTTGGCGTAGCGGATACGTGTCGGGGGGCTATATTATAATGCAACGTGCACAGTGTTGCATGCAGGTATTTTTGGAAGTATAGTTTATTAAGGCGGCCAAGCCATTTGCCAAACTTTTTGTTTGTCCTCTGCGTCGGCGCCGTCACTGTCACTTCACCGTTATCACAGAAATTCCCACGATTCCCACAATCACCAAAATCACCGCAATGAAAGTTTCCAATGGGACGCTGCACTTCCAGCTTCCCCCGTTTGCCGTCGTCCTTGCAAGAGAATCAGGAAGATTTTCCAGCCTGTTCTTAGCGTCCTCCGCCTTGCGCTTCCGGCTGTCTCCATCGGCCGTCATTTCTGCGAGGGTGAGTAGGCTTTCAAGCATGCGGCCAGCGTCACCCGCCTTGAACTTCCAGCTGTCCCTGTCCGCCGTCATCTCTCTGAGGCTCTCACGCATGCTTTCCAGCGTGCGACTGGCGTCCTCCGCCTTGTTCTTCCAGCCGTCCCTCTCTAGCGTCATCTCTGCGAGGGTGTTCTCTAGGCATTTCACCAGCTGGCTGCGTTCACTCGCCTCTTGCTTCCACTTCTCCAGGCTAGCTGTTGTTTCTGTAAGGATTGTATGACACAAGTTGTGGTGCATTCGACTCGTCTGCCTCAATCGAAGCGCTCTTTGCCATAACGTGCCAGGTCACTGGTCATATCAATGATGTCAGAAGTGTTTGGGGAAGGGGGAGGGAAGTTCCCTGTATTTCCCCCAAATATTTTACCAGGAATGTCTCAAATGCCTCAGGGGTAATCGCCCCCCTCTCCCTGTCTCAACGCCACTGCATCATGTCTTGACTTGAAGTTAAAGCAACAGCGTGAGCAGAAGGGACGACACTGAACGAGTTTCTAATATTGTGTCATTTTTGTTTAGGTCCAGACTTTCAAAACTATGATAATGCTGCTTTTGTGAAGATATGTGTATCGGAAAAACCCTAGCAACCACACGAAAGGTTTTACATTACTTATGCGAGTAAAAGTGGTGCACATTCACTTGCTTTTGTAAATCAATATTTCCTCTTCAATGGACATCTTCCCTGCATCTTTTTTTTGCACTTGAATTGCGCCGCACCTGGAACTACGCTGATGATTGCCGACATGATTTTACATAATTAAGATCTCGTTTTGCTATGGCCCGTTATATTACAGTTCAAGCTCTGCAGAAAAATCAGTTTTAAAAAGATACTTCAACACATCACTCTTTACTTTTCTAGTGCTGTCAGTAGTTTCGCATTTGCCTGAATTATTCATACATCATGTCAAAAATGCTTGCAGTTGGAAAGAACGAAGGAGGCCTAAAATCTTGACTTTATTGCAAGTTCATACTCTAAAGGAAACTAAGCCCATTTCATGTATCTCTTTTATACTTGCATCGTAGTGACCCAGAAAAATAGGGTTTATTGTGTCAATTCCACGTCCACCAAGACTGAATAGCCGATAATCACCCTCCAGTGTTAATCAGCTAGGAAGACCTCCATGATGCAATCTAAAGGAAACAAAACTGAGGTATCACTGAGGCTGCCGTGTGCAGGGGCGACATTTCAATGGCTGTTCATTTTTTGTTGTTCATTCCCACTTTGTCGGTAAACGATGGTGCAGTGAACACAGATAGTAGCTGTGCTTAATTAAATAAAATAAAAACAGCTTATTTTCATTTATGCCACAAACTTATCATGAAATCCCCGAAAACCGATCGCTCAACCTGCAGACCCGGTTGATTCAGCCATGCTTGATTTGGCCTTTTGTCGCGGGATGCCTCCATATTCGGCGAAGTCAGCACTAACTTAGCAACAGCTTGTCAAGTGGAGAGTAGCGCCAAAAATTGAACAGCTGCCTAAAGTCTCGACAATGGTAGAGCAAATTTCATCCCAGCACGGAAAGGTCTAGTAAGCCACGTGCTCGCCTGGGCTTTTATATTGTCCACGACTGTATCTTTCTAGCGGGCGAGTGGTCGCTCTGCCGAACAATGTTTCAAAACCGCGACCTCATGCTCTTGTGCTTTTGGCATTAGCTTCACTGATAGCCATTATAGGGGGCTGGATGGCGCATAGTCGCTCTCCAAGCAGGGCGCAAGTGAGCCACCGGAAGTTCGATGCTTGTCCCGGAAGTCTGCTGGGCTTCCTAGTGCATTCAGGTAATGTTTTGGTCCATGCTTTGCTGTATCAAATTTGAGTGGGTTTAAATATTCATGTCCTAGAATTAAATCCAGGGAATGAGGCATTTGAACTTGGGACATATACACACTTTATCAAGTAAAATCTCAAAACGTTTACATTGAATGGCTTCCCAGGATACTTCGACGGTCTGCACGCGCTCTTACTGCACAGCAAGCAGGCCATCTTGAGGTGACAAGCGAAATTCTAGCGCCCTTGACGCTTTTTGAACAAACACTCGGAAGGGTTACAAAGCCTGCCAAGCGCTCACTTCCGGGACAAGCCGCTTACTTCCTGTGGCTTCATACCTGTTTGCTGAATGCACCATCCAGCCCCCAAGGGGCGATCAGTGATTAGCTGCAGTCTCAGCTTAAAGCGATTGTCCGGTAAAAGTTTGTCTTTCAGAAATTTGCTTTTAGGAATATCATCAGCACAATATCCAAAGGCTTAATCCTCCGTCACACAAGTAATTCAATTTTAAACAGAGCCCAACTGCTCAGATTGCACCCGCAAAACACAGCGTTTTCGTTGGCAACGTAAGCTCCAACGTGACATCATAGAAAAAGAGTTACGACCGCTTTTGACTGTCGTCTCAGTAGAATAAATTCGCTCTAAGGATGGAAAAATTTACGATATTGACGGAACCTCAATTCTTTCACGATGATCTTTGTACGCATCATCGACCATGTTCATCAAAACGGGGAACAAGTCAACGCCTGCGCATCTGACGTTACCATGCCTGATGTGACGTCACGAAGTTGAAGTCAAAGTTTTGTACTGCTGTTAATATTTGATTTAGCAAATATTTTAAGGTCTTTTAATCAAATAAATATCACATCTGACTATATTTGGGCACTTTCTACGTCACCGGAGCAAAAACTCGGTAACTTCCGGTTACCTCTGGACAATCCTTTTAAGAGTGAACTGATTATGTATCCAGATCCTGCCTCGAGGCTTCAGTGAGTCGTTCCTGAAAACTGTGGCAAACCCATTTCATAGGAAGTTTTCGTTTATCATTTTCGCTGCCACGCAACGCTCTCCGCAACCACCTACTAGACCCGAAACTTTGCGGACAAACATGCGCTGTAGTGGGGTCTCCGTTGCAGAGCGTAGCGGGGTGAGACAAATGCTCTACAAACACTAGCCTTCTGTTCATTTTAATGGTTCAGGTTACGGTTACGGTTTATGTAAAAAGAAATAGGGAGTTTTAGTAGATCGCTTTGATAATTCCGGCAACAATAACAACGAAAAAATACTGGACGATACAAGCGCAGAGCCGTCGCGAAGTTCAGATATTGTTATCGGAGTGATTGAAACGATCAACTAAACACTCCCTAGTGTTTCATTATCGAGTATTGGAACAATCTGCTAAAACCCCCATTATAATTTCCGTTCCAAATTCGGTTACGAAAAAAAACAAAAAGCGCTCCTTAGCGGTTTTTAGTTTGTTCTACGGTTTGGGTCCCTGCTGTGTGAACAGAGTTGCTTGCCTTGTAGTCTGAGCTTGAGCATACAGCTGTGATTTTCCAGCTCGCCCGCGGACACCGCCGCGCCACAGCCCAGTTTGCAGGTCAACATCCGGTGCGGGCACGTCTTGACGTGGTCCTCGAGGGTGCGGCGAGGGCAGCGGTGCTTGCACAGGTTGTGAGGGCACGGCACCTCTTTGAACTCGCACTCGCCCAGGTGCGTCGTGTAAATGCTCGCGGCAACTCTGGCACTGCACCCAGGGCTGCGGCACTTCACCTGTGGCCGGAAGGACGACGAGGCTTTAAAGAGATCAAGAGAAAGAAGTCGGCGATGGGATGCCATGGATGACTTCGCTAGAGCCCTGCACGAAGAAAAGTGTGATCATCCACATCCGCAGACTTTGTGTGGGCAACCGAACAGCATCCGCAATATTCTTAACTTATTGTATACGCATCAGATCCGCATCTGCATACCTTGTATCCGCATTTACTGACCCGCAATCCGCGCATTCATGTTTAAGTATAAAACAAAGCGTGAATGAAAAGAACAAAAAAAAAAAGTATCTGGATGGTACCTTATAACTTATCAGCCGTTCGCTTATCTTTGTAAAATCGGAATACGGTGAAAGTCACCTTATCGGTTTTCTTCCGTCTTCCAAAAAATACGCTAACATATTTTTTTAATGACGTGCATGTTTTGTAACTATGAAGATTAATAAAGGACATAGTAATAACTTTGTGTTATTTTATTTAAATAAAATAACACAAAAGCCTAACGTTTCTCTATACTGCAGCCCTTCTGATGAAAACGAGTATAAGCGCTTCTTTCGTCGCCGAGACATAATCAGGTTGTTCGTTTGTTTCATAGATGTAGTCGCCCTTTCGGTAAACAAATTGGACTATCCAGGCCACCCTGATGTAATTCTGACGTCACCTGCCCCATACTTGCCCAGAGAAGCCACGTCACATTCGTAAACCATGGTGAACGTAACAACATTGTTGAACGCTCATGTTTCATAGGCTCATACATGCTCGCCATTCTCGCACGCTACGCACTACGCTGCTGCTTTAATTTTCTCGCCTTCTAGCCTGCTTCTTGCTCCTAGAGTCGGTCGATACGAAGGATTCCAATAATGACGTCGGCTATGTCGAAGGCTCCGTCGGCTCGAAACGCGGGTGGGAAACTAGGAAACTGGAGGCTGAAGCAGACTGAATGCGGTGGCAGCCAAGTCGTGAGTGCATGCAAGAGATGGCCGGAGTTGCGCCAGCGTGTCGCTAGGGGGCAGATATGGGAACGATATATGGAGAAGTGATGTAGACTACGTCACCGACCCTTCAAACATGGCGGCCTTCCTCGGTGGGCAGATGAGAGGGTCCTCGAAAAAATCGAATTTATCCACGAAACTCACAAATTGTTTACAAAACCAATTGATCAAATTGCCTTATGTATGCACCATGCTTAATCGAACCACTAATAGTTTATGGCACGGTTACTTTATTAAAATCAGTATAGAAACAAGTTAAAGACTCGGCACGCACCTTGACATTTCCTAGCATGTTCCGGATAAGTGGATGGGCGGGCACGAGGGAGGCAGCCTGCACAGACACACGGCACAGGGGACAGGTGCTGTTCGTGCGCAGCCACACCATGATGCAGTCCTTGCAGAAGACGTGCCGGCAACGACACTCCACGGGTTCTTGCAGCAAAGCACGGCAGATGGCGCAGGTCAGCTCGTCGTCCAGTGGAGGGTCGCAGTCCTCCGGGAATATTTCGGGAACTGCATTGTAAAGTCCCTTGAGGAAATTTGCATTCCGCAATTTAGGTGCACTTTGATCGCTTGCTATTCGTCTCACTGAATACTTTCTTGGTTTTATTTAAAAGGTTATACAATCCTGTTTCCTCAGCTATAAGTTATGTTCGTCGCGAATAGGGAGGCCCAGACTCTCAATAGCTCCGCTAGTTCCCAATTCGTGAAAAGACCGTTACAGATAACACGGGTTCTATGATGCTGTCTTTATAGGAGCAAAACTGAACGAGGGCTTTTTAAAGAAAAATTATTTAATTAGTTTTATACAGCTCCCCAAAAATTTTCCTAAATCGCAAATTATCAGCACAAATATTTTCTTGATTATATTTACTTGACTTAACTACACTTGCCATTCTTGGCACTTTTTTTTTATATTCACGAAAATTTCCAAACGCACTGACAAGATATTTTATTTAAAACATGGCAATATTTTGTTTTAGATGATGTGAGTTCTCATTTTGCTTAACGGGCAATTGAACGATCAGTGATAAGGTGTGAAACCCGTAAGATATGCGTCTATGTGAACGAGGGCTTTTGCTAATTTTTGAAGTAATGTAGTAGCAGCCTGTCAAAATTTACAGTCCTTGGTGCATTTGCTTTATGGACATATTATTAAATTAAAGGCATCTAATGAACCTGATTGTAATAAATAGACATACCGTAATATCCCGAGAGATAGCCACGTTGAATTTTACCATTGAAAACTGTTCCAACAAACGGATGCTGTCTTTACTATTAAGCATGAGGGGGGACGTTTGTCAGCGAAGTCTTCGTTGTCCATCCCCCTTTCTATGTATCCTCCTCATGTTTAATTACGGTTACCAACACGCTCGTTTTGTATTAATGTCTTTACTAGTTTCGCCAGAAATCTGATTGTGTACTTTTGAGAGCGGTTTTGTTTTCAGTGCCTCTTCTGCTGTTGAGGGAGTAGAGGGCGCTGCTTTTCTTTTCCTCTTCCCTCTCTTTTTTGTATGAAGAGGAATAAAATAAACTAAAGATGTTTACAACTCCCTGTAATGCCGAATCAGAGCGCAGCTTTTGAGGGGGAGGAGGGAATGGTACGGAGAGGAGCGTATGCCCCTCTCCTTCTTCCATATCTTCTCGTCCTCCATTTCTCCTCCTCCCCCTCCCTCGTGACCCTAGTGACGTCACTCGTGAAGGCCGTGACCTTTACGAGTGAAGGTCGTGACCTTCGTGACATCGCTCGAAACTTGAAAATCCAAAGCAAACCGGGTGAAAATAGGCTAACTTCCAATGTGCAATGAAGAAGTTGAAAAAAAAAGACTAGTTTGAGGTTCTGTGATTTACGAAACTTATGATCGCAAGGAGGAGCGATGAACCAAATGCGACTGTCCTTCCCAGTCAGAGATGTTCGCGTATCTTCCGCCGTGGCTAAGCAACGCCATTTCTGCCGAGGTCACCGTCGGCCAGGAACCTGCAATTAGTAAAAATGTATTTCGGTGCCTTAAAAAAAAAAAAGAAGCAAATTAGGTTTCAAACAGGGGTGGGGCATCTCTCGAGAAATTACGGTATATCATCTACATATTAAATTCCCCTCGTGATTGGCATCCGGGCTTCTCGTTTAAATAGAACTTAGATAATCTAAAAGAGTGAATGAGTTTCCTGGTTCAAAAACTCAATCAACCTCACCTCTCCTATGAAGGTCAGGGTGAGTGAGGGTGAGTCATGGCCCTCATGAGTGAGGTTTGCCGAGGTATGCTGGGGACAGTGGCAGGGTTTTGCCACCGCTCTCGCTGGTCTCGCGCTTCCAGGGACGTATGAGCAATGAAAACAGCCGTTTTCATCATTTTAGTTTGGGTTTGGTGATGTGTGCGTCTCAAAGGCTATGTGAGAACGTTGTAGTCGTCCTCGAAGTTATTCGAACTCCCAGGGGTGACACGCAAGGTGGTGTGAAATCGCTATCTCAACTTCACAAACAACAACGACGGTCATGACTCATGACGGTGCCGAGAAGCGGCGGTATAACTCCGAGCGAGATTGGTTTGATGTTGGTGGTTTGAGTTCAAGGTGGGGAATCAGTTGGCCGGTATGTTACTGCCACAGCTGACAAAGGAGTTGACACGAGGGGTGCAGAAAAGATGCCGAGAAGGTCCACTTCGTGCCGGAAAGACCTTTGGCGTCGTCAGGTTTGTAGAGCCAGCCATTCGATGCCGCCGAGAGACGGAAAAACGTGTTATGTGTCTCGTAATTTCCCTGCTGGGTTAGTATTTTTGACTCTCGTGCACAGTGTGTGTGTGTTTGTTTTTTTTTCTTATGATGCCAGGGAATAACTCTTTGTCACTGCTCATTTCAATGACACAGTCAAAACGCCCGATAATCATTGCATTCAGTGAGACTTCCTTGGCATAAAGTCAATAAAACATATCCGTTTTTTTTTTTTGTTTTTTTTTTTAACGAAAGCGCTATGTTTTTATGAAAAATGCATGGCCGCGTCTAATGCGAGCAATTTGCGCTAGCCATTTCAGTTTAACCTGGACCTCTTCGGACCCCTGAACGTGGCGTTCAGAGTCCGTTTACGTGCCGCGATGTTTTCTTCAGGACTGACACGCCGTTCGCCGCCAGTTGTCTCAGCGAAGTTGTACACGCTGCACTTGAATTTCTATATGATTGTGTATACAATCTCCACAATTATTCATTACCAAATTTTCAAAAAAAAGAAAAGGAAACGTGAGATAGAGTAATTTGAGCCCTGGGGAAGTGTTAAATAGCCATGGCGGCCTCTAAAAAAACAAAAGAAATTAGGTAATTAATACCTAATTAACTAAAATGTTTTAACAAAATTTTTTTTATTTTTTTCACTTGTGAGCACATAATATAATTAGAGAATTGAAGCTTGACCCCAATATGATCCAGCCCTGCCATCAAAGTTTGATTATAAAATTCGTAGTAGGAGCCATAGAGTTATTATAATGTACGCTAGAGGTTCAACTGGCGCTAGTGTCTATGCGACTTCCGTGACGCAAATTGAAGCAGACAGCAACCAGTCTACTTTTGCGGTGCTCCTGTGCATTCCTATGGGAAAACGCGCGTGCATTTTGTCTCTTCGCCTGAAAATAACACGGAACACTTTGGTTATTTGGGTCGTACCGAATAGTATACACCTTGATTAACACTGTAAAAGTGTAATTGCTTTAGTTAGCGCATTTTTCTTCATCGGTGAACGATGCTTAACTTCGCTACATTTCAGTCCAAAAAGTGTTCCGCAGAAGGTCTGTAAGAACAAGCGACGACTCAAAGCAAAATTGCAATCGAATGGAATATAGAGTGTGTTCAAGGTTCACCAGCATTCCGGTGACGCTTATATATTGATAATATGCCAGTCCTGTCACTATATGAAAATGACCCCGTCGTGCATTAGCGGATAAAAACATTCAAACCGTAGAGAATGAAGTCCGTGGGCTATAAAAGGTGTCTCTTCGTATTGTTTTCTCTGCCGGGCAGCTTTTATCGGGCACTTGGGCTTAAAGATTTCGACCGTGCGGGTGATATTTTGAACGTAGTACAAACATCTTCGCTCAGAGTAGAAAGAATAAAGGATACGTATTTAAAATCGGAATAGATTACGTGGCGTTCAATTTATTTTGATCGTACATGCACAAGTAGTTACTGATCCGGTGTTACTGCGTAGTTCTTGCCGTCTTCCTTAATTTCCAGATGTTCTTCGTTCGTTTGGCACGTGTATCCCTCATGCTGAAAAGCGCCGACGTCGTGTTCGCGCTAACAGTGTCCGACAGTGCACATAAATACTCGTACCAAGCCGTTTTAGCACCGTTTTTAATGCGATGAATTTGAAAGAAAAACACCGTAACTGACCAATTTTTTCGTCGGCCTGACTGAAAAATGTTCCAAGCTACCTAGTACGTACGAATTATTTGGGATATTTGCTCTTATGATCGAGCGCAGAGAGAAAATGCACTCACTTTTTCGCATAGGAATGCATTACCGGAAGCCTGTTTTGGACTGGTTGCTGTCTGCTTCAATTTGCGTCAGCACACTAGCGCCACTGGAACCTCTAGCGTCAAGAAATGCCGCCTTGGTGCACGGCGTCAAACCGAAACTAAGCTAGAAAGAGTGCCGGCAAAGTTATCACTCCGCCCTTCCGGCCCCCGTGGATCGTCGTTATCGCAGCCAGCTTCGCCCAAGCAAGTGGAGCCGGCCGCGAAGCGATAACTTTACCGGCGCTTTTTCCTGTTTAGTTTCGGTCCGACGCCATTTACCAAAGTGACATTTCTCGACCCCGTAGCGCCTACTAGGAATTTGTTTAATATCCAAATTTGACGACACGGCTAGACCATATTGTGGTCGATATTCAATCCTCTAAACACATTATGTGCCCTCAAGTGAAAAATTAAAAAGTTAGTTAAAACATTTTAGTTAATTAGCTAACTAATTACCCATTTTCGCCTTTCTTCTAGAGGTCGCCATGGCTATACACTCCGTGCGACGCGACTGGCGCGCCGCCGCGCGGCCGGTACCGAAGGTAGGCAGTGAGAACCCCAGAGAAAACGAAACCGAAACCACGCCGCGTACGTTGGTACGCATTGAAGTCGAAGCGGTGCGGTTGCGCTGGGTTCACAGCATGAAGTGCTGCCTGTGCTGCGTCATTAAGTGCTTCAATAGTTATGCGTCGTATCTCGTGGAGACAAAGTTTCACAGTTTTTCACCTCGCCGATGTTTTGTGGGACAGCGACAACGATGAAGCCGTGCCGTACGACGCGAGAAATTTGGTCTCCCGATCATGGCTGCCACTGTGTCGGCACGGCTGACATATTCTACACTGCCGCTTTGCGCTCTGCGTTTGTTTGCGTATCAGTGACGCCTACATGTGTCAGCGGCGATGGGACGAACTGAAGTGCCATCCCACACTCGCGGGTATGCAGTGCCAATTTCGTTGGAGGAATGCCCTCCAAAGAAGTTTCGTCCCCATCGTACGTGTCGATGATATTTCCGGACAAGTATGGCATGCAATCTGTACTTCATGAAGAAAGATTCTAACGCTAAAAAAAGTGACAAATATAAATCTAAAGAAAACAACAATGAAACTCGGAATCACTGGAGAATCGAAGTTTGAGTATGGAAGTTTATGTGGTGTGCTTTCTTTCTTGATCAGCCTCCTTTTGGATGTGGAAACGCTGACACCCCGAGTTCTGTAGACAACATTTTTTTTATTCTCGGCTTTAGAGCCACCTATCGCAAAGTGGTTCGAACTGGAAGTACCGCCTACCGGTCCCTTCCTACCCGTAAAGTCTGCACCTCCCACGATGAGTGGTATTACCTGACAGCCTTTGACGGTCAAAGCCAGTTCCCATTTAGTTACGCCGCCCAAACTAAATTTCCACCTGGTTTCGCTATGCCAACTCTTTTTGTTATAACATGTGTTGTGCCAAGTGACGGTCATGTCAAAGTACCTGTGCGCCGAAAATCAGCCCCTCGCACAACAGGTTATTACACAACAGCTGACCGTAAAAGCCCTTGGCGGCCAAACCGTGTGTTGGCCGACAACTTTGCTTTCTCGGCTTTGAAACCACCTTTCGTAAAGTTGTTTCAATTGGAAGTACAGTCCACTAGTTCCTTCCTACCTCTAAAGTCTCCACCTCCCCCGACCAGTGGTATTCTCTTGACAGCCTTTTCATGGTCAAAACCGGTTCCCTTTGAGTTACGCCGCCCAAACCAACTTTTCACCTGATTTCCCTATGCCACCTTTTTTTTTTTTTTTTGTATAATAAGTGCTGTGTCATGTTACTGTCAAGTCCAAGCACCTGTGTGCCCAAATCTGCACTTTGCACAGCCCGCTATAACACAACATTTTGGGTCCAATATTGGATATCCCGTACAGCTTTATTTCTTTTTTCGTTATAAACATAACTTTCACGCCTGCTGTCCTAAAGAAACTTGGCACTCTTCGTGCACAAACTTAGTGAACATCTCACTCGCCTCCAAATATCATCGTTCCAGCAGTCCTAGGTTTACAGCGACGAGCGAAATAAATTTCGCACTCAGAGCAATTATGGTGGCGGCCGTCTTGTTTTTTGGGAAAATTGCTCCAACTTCTTTTTCCGCCGCGACTAGAGAAATTACCCCTAATAACGACCCAAACTCAATATATAAGAAGTGGAGAACAGCAAAATGCCCTTCTGCCCCAGCACTTATGCAACGTCACCCTCAACTTATGGGCTCAAAAAGCAAAGGTTTCGTACGTGCGCGCTTCCGCCGCCACAGCTTGGCATGCGAAAAGGCGCCGCAGGCTGCTGAACGCGCCTCGCAGTCGAACGCCAGCTCCTCCGCTAGCGGCGCTGCGCGCGTTTTTCAAAGCGCCCCCTATAGTTCCCGCACGGAGTGTATAAACACCTCCCCAGGGCTCCAATTACTCTATCTCACGTTCCCTTTCTTTGGAAATTTGGTGCAGCAAAAAAAAAAAAAAACACACCCTGCATTTTTTCGTTTTTTTTTTTTTTTTTTATTTTAGTTTTATTAGGTAGAAAAGAAAAGCAAACACGGCTTTGCTAGTGCTGTGAATATACGTTTTGAGCTGACGTTTTCTTCGATATTATTACTGTAATAGTAATATAATGGTAGCACAAGAACGTTTGCGCCGGTTCCATTTTTAATCTGAGTACTTTTATTTACGTTTTCGCTCGATACGATCGGTGCCAATGGCTGCCCAGCAACAATGTCGTGTGACGGGCTTTTGCGTTCATGTGTTTTGATGCACAAATATCGCCGCCGCGTATCGTCAGGTTGGTCAGGTGGTGCATCATGCAGAGCGCCGCGTGGCGCCCAGTTTCACCGCTTATAAGTCCCCTGCTGTAGCCCAAGCAGGCATGTCGACCGTGGAAAACACACCGGCGTACCACTGCAGTCGAGCCAGTCGAGCTGCAACTGTCGAGGTCGCTTCCCGATGAGTACGCGCGACGCCGCCGCGAGAGGCGCGCGTGTCGGACGTAATCAACAGTTGTTGAAAGAGGGTGTGAAGGATTGTGCCACTCGTGCACGATCGTGCCCGGGAAAAAGCGAGCGGTGCATTTTCGGCGACGAGTAGAGACATCGTGATAAGGACAAAGCCGTCGCTGTGTGTACGATTGCCGCCGCTCGTTCTCCGATACATTAAGATATACCAGTGATTGTGACAACGACGAAATAACGCGGCGAGTTCACGTGGATACTGGTGCAGACGCGGACGTTGAAAGGCTATCTTGACTTCTAGAACCCAGGCGATAAGAACGCGAGTTTCGCGTCCGACTTCCTACGATCGCCCGACACACGGATGGGGACATATCGCATTTGTTCGTGGATGAAAATGCGACATAATTAGGTGGTGGTAGCTTCTTGAGAAAGATGCGCTTGCAAAATTTAAATACATAGATTCGAAGAAACTGAATTCAGTCGTTGATACGTTACCTCTCCCCAAATGAAGCAATTTGCAGCAATTACTTCTAAAAGTATATGAGTTGAACTACGAAGTACAGAAATAAACACATAAAAATTACGAGCTAATAAAATTAGTACAGTATTTAGAGTAGGGCAACTGAATTACGTACGAGTCTGGTCCGCGTCCATTCTTTGCAGGCTTTCTAACGTTGAGGCTTTCCAAGCTTTCCAAGCTTTCGCTTCTGTATAGTTTCGGAATTGTCCGGTTGCCGGATATGCATAGTCCCTCCTACATCACCAGGCAGCGCTCCGTGTCTTCCGTTTCCTTCCGCGCGCCGTTTTCGTCTGCATCCGTGAGATGTTCCAAGCAGCAGCTTGGGGAGTTCTTCCTGGTGTGTTCAAGACGTTTGCATCGACTGACGACTATGCTCGATCGTATCTTCTTCTCCGCAAAGTCGACAGGTTGGGTCGCCCTCGTACAGCTCACACCACAGTGGCTCACACCTCCGGCTCTGGGTCCCGTTCGTGCCTGAAAAATCAGGGCGCTGGCTCTGTCCCCCCTGTACCGGCGGTCTGGTTCACTATTGTCTATTGTGCTTTCCGTAAAGCTCGAGGCTCTGTTTCTCCTAGGTCGTTTTGGCCCATTCTCTCTCCACCACTGATCAATGACAATCGCTGGATCGCGCATCCCCGCTACGGCTCTGTCCCCGCTCTGCGAGTGCGGCCACCGGACGGCCATCTTGCATGGAGCTTTTTTTCGTTTTGCTAGCGTTGCAGAGGCTGGCGGCAGCGTGCTACAATACGTTTTCTACTCGTTCGTCGTCATTCTCCGAAGACGTTCTAAAGATCCTATGTGAGCCGTGATACATTGCCGTTGAGAACACGTAAAAAGTTTTACGAACGCGCAGAGCTGCAGGAAAAGGGCACAGCTCGTCGAAAGTAAGTTTCGCCGACGGCTCGCGGGCCAAAGGAGAAGAAAGACAAGTTTTTCATCTCCACAGTGGCGTCTGGTGTAAAAGGCAAGCGATTAATTGGTCTAACAAGCACGTAGCTTTCACTTGTAGAGATTAAAACCCTGTCTGAAGCCCATGCATTTCACTGTCCTCACTGAACCAAAGAATTTAGTGTCCATAATAGGTGGCGCACGTTCTTTCCACGAGCCAGCAGCCGCGGGTGTGCACGAGCACACGCAACGAAAATGACGTCAAAGACCTCCATTCGCGCTTAAAGAGGCGATGCAACGAGTTTTGTATTTTGCGGAAATACCGCTTAGAGCGGATCCCTGACGTTAATGACCTGTGAAACACCCATTCGTTTTCCACCCCACGCAATCAAAGTCGCAGAAAAAAAATAAAGAAAAACAAGCAGAGTTCACCCCCTCAACTCGCAGCCAGAACAAGCGGCCACGCGTGATCTGGATGTTCTGCAAGTGCGCCGCCATCTTGAATTGACTTCACTTCCAGTATGGACGAGAACATTGTTTTGCCTTTGCCACGCCAATGGAAGGCATTTAGGGTATAAGCGTAAACTTCACGCTTTGTCGTTTTGCCTCCCCTTTATTTTTTTACCATTTGCAGGTTGAAACGTTGGATTATTTTTTCGTCGCCCATACCGGATATGCCTATTAGGTGACTGGAGACGAGAGTAGACAAAAGGCACAGGACAGGCGCTGCGTTCCAGACATTGTTATGGTTCGGCTGTTGTCGTCATTGCAGCGATTGGACACAGGACACTACCCGAATGCTTCTCGAGCTATAGATTATCACGAGCCCAAATCGAGTGCCGACGCAATGCTCGGGTCCAATCTATGAGCCGCATTAAAATATCGTCACTGGGCGGTACTGCTACCGCCCAGCTACGTCATCAGGTTTTGCGAAGGAGAGATTAAATGAAAACGCTCGGTTTTGTCCTCGAAATTACAGTGCAACAAAGGAGTTTCTTGGTCAGTGGCGTTGCGTGCGAGTATCCTTGAGTCCCACTAGTGCCAGTAAGCTCGTGTAAAGTGAAAAACATTCCAATTGAATATCGTTGCACCGTCCCTTTAAGAGGGCAGTGAAATGCATGGGCTTCGGGCCAAAGGGGAATAAAGACAGGCTTTTTATCCCTACAAGTGAAAGCTACGTGCTTGTTAGACCAATTAATCGCTTACCTTTTACACCAGACACCACTGTGTAGATGAACAACTTGTATTTATTCTCATTTGACCCGAAGCGCATACATTTCACTAGGGCCATGAAACGAATTTTGGGTTGGGATGAATGATTTTAAATTGGGACTTTACTAATCGCATATCGTTTAGTTGGCCAAAAGAAAGAGGCTAGAAAATCAAATGCCAGTTTTTCGGTACGAACATTTGAAAATATAGCGGACTGTTTTGTACCTTCTTGTCTTCGAAAGCTCTCCGCCTTTTTACTATGATACATCCGCGGTTCCAAAAGCGCGTCACCGGCGCCAAACTGACGTCAGCAGAGACCAGCTCAAGCATTGGACACGAGAACTGCGTCACTCGGACGTATGCGCTCGTCAACAATCAATCCGTCGACGAATATTTGGATTCGCGTTCGTGGCCAATGAGTGCCCTGACGGAACTTATTGTCACTGGGGAATGACAAGTTCTATGGTGTGCATAAAAAGCACGGTGGAAGCTAGGAGTCATCGCACCGGTGCCGAAGGAGTGTCACGACCACGTGATTTCACAATTCGCATTTGAGTTGAGGATTAAAGCTAAGGAGGAAAAGTAGGAAAATCGTTTCATGACCCCTTAACCGCGTCATTTTGATTGCGTGTGCTCGCGCGCACCGGCGGCTGCTGGCTCGTGGAAAGAACGTGCACCACTTATTATGGGCACTAAATTCTTTGGTTCAGTATCCCTTTAACTTGCATTCCGTAGTGCCACTAAATAAGCTACGCTTCAGAGTAACGGCACTTGGCCATATTGTGTCTTAAAATCATGGTTGCCAGTTATCTGAAGCTTTATCTGAAATCACAGGAAATGCTTTTCCGCCCTCCACAAATGTTTAAACCGATCGCGACAGAGCAAAGCAATATTACATGACCTTCCTAACACCGAATCTAATGCTGAGGAAGTCTCACTTTTGAATCATGACGATCGGCCGTTGCGTCTGTTCTGCATACGAGCCAAAATGGCGGCGCCCACAACAATGTCGGGGAACGGAGTGCCGATACTCTAAGCGCAGCTTATTTAGTGGCTCTAGCATTCCGCATTGACTCCCTGCTCGCTCAAGAGCGTCATGGTGCCGAAGGCGGCATTCACTGACGGCCACCCGTTCCTGCCCAGCACGAGCTTACGATTAGCTTCCACAACGCTTCTGCAACATATGCATTGCACACCACCAAGACTAAAGCATGGAACACATGAGCGGTAAAACTGAGGTGCGCGGCATTTGCCGCTCGCGTGCCCTACCGCTGCTCCCTACCGCGGTACCGCCGGTACCGCGGTAGGTTTTTGTTTGGAAATTTACGGTTCGCGCGTGCCATGCCACTTGTTATGGCAAAGAATTGTAAGTTCTGCTTGTCTACCTTGTGTCCAGCAGTTGACAGTCCGTTACTTGTCGTCGGCGTCTTCCAGAGAATCGAAACAGATACAGCATTTTTCGCACTCGTTGACGCATTTATTCAGTCATTTGCATAACAAGAAAAAACACTCTAAACAAACGTTGCTATGCGGAAAAATAAATTAATAATGCGCGCAGTATTTACGTTAGCAAGAGGTGCTACAGTGAAGATACAATGTGCGGCACTGTTAGCGCGAACAGGACATAGCCTTTTCACTTTGAAAGGCTATCGGCGCGCACCAACTATTACCCTATTACTGCCTAAGTTCGCCAAGTGACTGTTTAAAGTTTCGTAAACCTCAGACGCAGATATGGCGCGAGAATATCGGTCTTCGCGATTGAAAAACACAATAGTCATGTCTCGCTAACATGGTCGATCGTTTCGGCCACGCCGCTATAAATGTCATATTTTCAGGGACTGATATGTGTCCCCATACAATTCTAACTCGTCACGTTAAATAAAGAAACCCGAAGCACGTACTATGGACAGCTAGCTTGAGAGCGGAATGGATAAATACATGTTTTTTTTCATCTTTTTATTATGGTCTCTGTAAAGACAAACTCAAAAAAATGGGGGGAGGGAATATATTAGTGAGGCAAAAAAGAATAGTAAAGCTCTTCGGTTACGGATTTTACCCAGAGCTGCACCATTGTCAGATATGGCAATGGTGACTCAATGGTTACAATTTTCAGGGGTTTCCAGACTGAATCACTTGCAGTTCTTTCCCTTTCCCAGTTGCAGATGACAAAAATGAACAACATACCACCTTCATTGTTTATTCTTTGTGATCTTGGCAGTGATTCAAGATTATGGATGACCAACATTATGGACAATTGTTTTGGAAACTGGAAATGTCCATATTAAAGAGAAAATATTGTAACAGCAAACAGAAATGTCTGTTTCCGTGGCATGAAAACACAATAATCATAATTTCTGATATGTATTACACAGAAGCAAACCCAGTGTGAAGTAAATATGCAGCCTTGCCGGAGAATTGTATGCAAACAGCCCTATCGGTGAGGTATGTCTAAGAAGTATTTAAATGGTTATTGTTTGTGGAATCTCAAATACCAACCTGAACGTATATTACGATAAAAACATCAATTCTTCAACCTGTGTAATAAGACAATAATGCAAAATTGTAGTGGGTCAGATATTGTCCACCAAAACTTGAGATCTTAAGAGGGGGCGCACCTCAGACTCTCCAACTCTCCAAGTACGTAGTTTGAATTCTAGCTGCCAAGGGTCCTGGAATCACTGGTTCGAAGCAACAGATAATAATAATAATAATAATTTTTATTTGCACGAGAAAGTTTGTCCACTCAGTGGCGTGCAAGGCTAAACAGAAAGGTTAGTACCTTTACGCATGTGCGCCTGCTAGCCCGCTCCCTCGCCCTCCCACCTAAAAAAAAAAACTGCCAAGAGGTTGTTGGCCACCAGCAGGCTAACGTGTCTAAACAAAGTGGATGCTCAGAGGCTTATGTTAGCCTATGATCTTTCTCCATAAAAATCGTGCAAGGAGCAACCTGCTGACGCAGTGGACAGCATTGTCTCTCGAGGGTCTCAAGAAGCACAGCCAAAAGATTTCATGCCTAGTTGAAAGCTCGTGTCATTCTGACTGTTCCATGTAAATAAACAGTTAACACAATGAATTGTAATTCGGGCAAACTTATTTGTTGCTTACTTACAAGCCTGAACTAAAATCTTTAGAGACTTAATAATGTGTAGACCTAGCTCTCTGTAGACCACTATGGTATTTCTCATTTCTCTTGGCCTCTTGATGAGCTTCCGATACCTGTCGCTTGCGCCGTCAAGTTGAACCACGAGTTGAACCAGGTTTTCTTGGTGTGGCCACCGAGATTTTATGATGCCCATGGGATGGACCAGCCACTTCATTGTTCTTTCTCATTTTTCCTGTATGTGTGTTCTCTATTTTCTCAGGATCTGCACAGGACAATGTAAGAATACATTAGTTTGTCTCGTCACAACACACACACTTGCAGAAGAGAAACAGGGCTATGAAACATTGCATAGTGCTGCTCCTACTATCTTTTTGTTTTTGTTATAATCCTCTTTGCCCCAGCCACTCTCACTTTACATTACAGTTGATCGTAGATTAGACTGCATAGATCACTATAACAGAACCTAGCATGCTGATGGTTACATATTCAGCTTGATAGGTTGGCCAGCAATCAAGCGCACTTCACAAAAAGGTTGCCACGGACACTACCTTTTGTCTATTGGGGTTCCCTGTCCCTGAGGCTTGTTGGAGTGATTTTCATCCCTTGAGAATCTGTACGGATACACAAAAAAAGAACACATAATGCCAATGATGGAATTTTATGTGCAACAAACAAAAAAAAAAAAAAAAAAAGCCTAACGCGAGTTTTAATTGTTTTGAGGGGAGTGCGTTGGGAGGTGTAAAAACTTTCGAGAGAATTACACATGGAAGGACGGATAGCACATCTCGCGATCAAGCTCTGCTGTCTACATTCCGCCCTTCTATGCGTAATTCTTTCAAGATTTTAAAAGTGTCTTTAAAAATTAAATTATGTTACTATCCATCTTTCTATTTATTTCTGAGAGAAATAAAACGTGGCAAAACTAGTCGCAGGGCTGTAAAAGATTCTACACGAGATAATTAAATTAATAAAAACGGGCAGATATTATAAGATGAACTCTGAAATATTCTAGAACTGGGAGAATATTTGTATATAGACTACAATTTACTCGACGGGGATCTACACTGCTGTGCAGAAATTGACGAGAGTTAGAGCAGGTGATATTTCGCTAACAGTAGTCTACAGATCATAAAATATTTGCAGGACGGTCTTCATCCACAAAACCACGTGCGAACACTCGCCGAAATGTGTGCGTCGCAATGAAATCACAGAGACATTTTGTAAATTTCAAAAATGAAATGATATATTCAATTACCTAAAAGAGTACAAGACCCCCAAATGGTGCAATTTGTGGCTGGAAGATCAGCTTAGGAAAAGTTTCAATCGGGGTGAAAAATTTCAAACTCACCGTCGTCAGTTGGGATCCGAACGAACGGGTGCTTCTTGTTCCCGACGCTGCTTGGGCACGACTTTACGTAACCGCACAAATGAGGTGGTTCAAAGACACGAAAAGCTTTCCACTTGCCCGAAAGTGCGAGGCTCGCGCAATGCGATGACCGACGCTTGACGCACCGAAGGCGAGCGAAAGCGCGAAAGCACCGAGCAGACCCACGGACGCCTCCACAACGGTCCACCGGTTTGAGAACGCGCAGAGCGCAAGCGCGCAGGCAGCGGTTTCGTTTTAGAAACGCAAAAAAACAACAACAGAAAAAAAGCAAAATTTTGCGTGTGTGATGTTGACATGAACTTTTAAAAAAATATATTATATTTTTAGGAATACGTAATATGTATTTAGTGAAATAATATGCGGTCATAATTACATTTGAATGAAGTTTGATTCATTATTGTTTTGTTTGGTTTTTAGTAATGAGCGCCTCCGACCACGCGAGCGCTGCTGTACACCTCTATAGTGGCGCCGTTCGTGTTCGGGCCGCGCAACTCGCTCTGTGTCCGGCATAGAGATCACTGATATCATACATGTGTCCGGAGGCAGAGCAGAGGCAGAGCACTGTGAGGCGGAGCCGTCCATCCATCCATCCAACGCGGCCGACAGTCGGGCGGGAATGTCGATTGCAAAGAAGCTGATGGGCTTACTTCTCCACAGTAGCGTCTGACTACGGTGTTCTGTAATCTGACCAAAGTTATTTTGCATCTGGCTTTGTTCAGCTGGTTCGTCCCGAACGATCAACAGTCCTACGTAATGCCGCCGCAGCTTAGAAAGCGTCTCCTGCAACCGGAGAAGCAGCCCCAGAGCTGGTGAGTTTCGCCGGACCATCAACATTAGTTTCACCTTTTGCTCAAGGTCCAAATTTTACATCATGAAAGGGGGGTCGAGCTGCGCCGTACCAACCTGGCATGGGGTCCTAGCTCAGCGCACAGCTGCCTTTTGTTATTCATGTGCGTACGCCCATTTCATTTTGTGAGACAGCGAGCGATGAGCGGTCGACGCAGATTCCTGCGAACGTAAACCGCGTAAACGGGTGCGAGATGGCCCTTGTGCTGAGTGACAGTAACGTCTAAATAGCATCTTCGATCACCGGAACTATCCTGAAACGAGGACAGTGCACAGCGCTCCTCGGTCGTGCAGCGCGAAGTCTGTGCAACATCGAGGGCAAACTGTGCCGCGCCGACGCACCGCAGCGACCGCCGCTATGCGTCACGTTGTGTTTTGTTCGTTTTTTCTCACCAACTCAACTCTCCTACGTCACGCCGCGGTGGTGGCGCGCCGGACGCACTTCCGGTCTGGGGCGGTGGGCAGAAGTCGCCGTGCCAGACATGCATTCCTGTGTTCCTTTGGAAGAAACGAGACAAAAAACCTGCCTTCTCGTCAAAATGCTGCGATGGGGGCTTTACCAAGAGAGTCTGGAAAGGTTTGAAGATCAGTTTTCATGTGTTTTTGCACCCTCCGTTCGTCCGAGAACGTGAATAGCAGCCGTGAAAAGGGCAAACCAGATGCTGTCGAACTACGATTGCGTGTGCGGGCCACAATTTGTGGTCGTCAGATGTATTTGCATTGTTCCAACATGAACGAGAGAAAAACCCCAAGTTGTCCGGACCACGCACGGATTCAGTGCGTCTTTAAATTCACACGGCCGCCTGATCGTTCGAACTTTCGTCTGCTCTTTCAAAGTTGTCTGCTTTTTGTCGTCTGCTCGTTCAAACAAAAGCGGCCTGTAGACCAAACTTTGACCCGGTGATTGCAATAAGAAGTAATTGCAGGCCTCAAAAGACTTAAGTAAGCTCGGTGTAAACAGTAGATACAAGATGTTAATTATTGGTACCGGTGGCCATCACCTACTTGTTACGCTTAATCTGTTCCCGCTTCCGATTTTCAGTATCGACGTCGATCATCGCCGCTACCTTTTACACTTTTGCAGCACGAGCGATGTCGCGACCGAAAATAGCTACAAGAATCTCATCATGGTTTTGGCGTCCATTCTGCAGCGTTCATGCGAATGAATCGCCGCACGTCAAATTATTTACGGAAAGTTTGGCGGCGTAACGAGCCTTGATAATTTCGCTCAGGCGATTGAAGTGGTAAGACATTGCGATGAGGACGCAGAATCAACGCGAAAAAGAGTATGCAGACTCACACAGACGCCGACAACGTACATTCGAATGGTTTGTTGACGCGGGACGCGGTGCTTCTTGCCTGTACTCCATTGCGCGTGCGTTCGAACTGTCGTCTGCTCTTTCAAACTTGGCTGCTTTTTGTCGTCAGTTCGTTCAAACGACAGCGGCCCGTAAACCAAACGTTGACCCGGTAATTGCGATAAGAACTAAGTGCAGGCCTCAAAACACTTTTGAAGGTTAGTTGGGGTAAGTCGGCTAAGTGTAAACAGATACAAGAAGTTGATCATTGTTACCAGTGTCCATCACCGACTTGTAATGCCCGATTCTACTTGCGGTTTTTAGTATCGATGTCCACCATCTCAGCAATGGTCTACGCTTTTGCAGTCCGAGCGACGTCACGACTGAAAATAGCGAGCAGAATCTCATCTTGGAAGTCAGGCTTTAGCGCCCATTCTGCGGCGTCCACGTGAAATGAATCGCCGCACGTCACATTATTCACGCAAAGTTTTGCCTCGATAGTTTTGCTGAAGCCGCTCGAGTAGTCAGACATTGTTAGGAGGACGTAGAATCAGCAATTCCAACGCGAAAAAGAGCACGGGGACTCCCACCGACGCCGACAACAACGCAATTCAATGGTTTGTTTATGGGCGACGGCGGGCTTCTTGCCCACCATCCACCGCGCATGCGCGGCGCCGGTGGCGTCCGCTAGGGGCGCTCCGGTTTGTTTGTAAACATGAGTTGGTGTATACACCTGGGCTGTGTTCCAAAATTTACTCGATCCGACTCCGGAGTAAAAGTTTCGTACCGTGGCGTTCCAAAACTTACTCGAGCTTACTCGATGACGTCAGAACTCGCGTTCCAGAAGCGGGTTGTTCACTCCGGAGTAATTACTCGCGCTACCCTCCTCGATCGGGGGGTACAGTCGGATCAAATCGAGTAAATACGTCACGTGATCTGTTCGTCGTCTGCTTTCTGCGCCGACAGCCGTCAAAGCTCGCTTGCTCCGTTGGTTTTGGTGGCGGACGTTCGAAATGACAAAGAATTAGGTGCAGCATGTGTGGTTATTGCGATTTGCTGTTGTCAACGCAGGAATTGACTGCATTACATCCAGACCGTCCACCTTCCCCGGGAACGTGTACTTGTTATTATCTGAGTGCGAGCGTAAACAGGAGCTTCTCCGCATCCTCGTCCTCGGCGTTGGGGGATGCCGTAATCTCACGTTCAAGGCCGAAAATGTTTGAACTCGTTATATGATAATGTAATATTTTTGTTTCCTCCAGAGTGTGTGTAATGAGAGGATAACGTTTGTAAAGCAGTGAAGGCTTCGAAAATTTCACTGTAATCACATTCGCGTCAAAGCGAACGTGAGTTTCATAATCTGGAGAAAGCACCCTCGCGCTGGACCGCTACACCGTGTGGAATATATTTCTGCAAAACATAATCGGTGCAAATTACAATGCGTGGAATATATGCGTTTAGGGCACCGTGACTAGAATTGCAGCGATCGCGCTGATTAATAAAAACCCATTTTTTCATGTCTAGCTGTAAGGAGTAAGTAATTTTGATCTCAATATACAGCTCAAAACGAAGGTGAGTAAAAGGAGCTGGTGGATCCACCTCAAAATACACCGCATCGTCATTAACATAACCGTTCTTCGGGTGCTTTCTCCATGATCAAAAGGATCGTCTGCTATTTTCTGTCATCGCTGCTGTGTTTTCTTTTTGCCGTCGCCCAAGACGAAGCCAATCCGCGTAGTATCCAGGTGATTATCCTGGCCGTTCCAAAATCGAGTCGCGGATCGTTTACTCGCGATGTCACGTGGTATTACCCGCTGACGTAGGAGGCAGGTTACTCGGGTAAGATTTGGAACATAGCCCAACTCATCTCTGTTACGTCACGGCGCGGTGGTGGCGCGTCGGACGCACTTCCGGTCTGGGGCTGTGGGCAGGGTGGGCAGAAGTGCCCATTTGAGACGTGTATTCCTGCGTTGTTTTGAAAGGAACCAGACAAAAAACTGCCTTGTCGTCAAAATGCTGCGACTGGGGCTGTACCAAGAGAGTCGAGAAAGGTTTGAAGGTCAGTTTTCATGCGCTCGGTTCGTCCGTGAACGCGGATATGTGCCGTGAAAAGGGAAAACCAGACGCCGTCGGACAACGATTGCTTGGGCGGGAAGCATTTTGGGTTAAATTCACGGATACTACTGGCCATCAAATTTATTTGTTTGGTTCCAAAATGAACGCCGGAAAACCGTCAAGTTGTACGGACCACCTGCGGACTACGTTTAGTGCGTCTTCAAGTTCAAACGGTCGCCTGATCGTTCGAACTGTCGTCTGCTCTTTCAAACGTTTCTGCTTGTCGTCTGCTCTTTTAGAGGACACCGGCCCGTAGACCAAACGTGGGCCCGGTACTTGCGATAAGAATTAAGTGCAGGCCTTAAAAGACTTAAGTTTGAAGGTTGGTAAGCAGGCTCGACGTAAACAGTAGATACAAGGAGATGTTGATCATTGTTACCAGTGGCCATCACCGACTTGTTATGCCCGATTCACTTGGTTAGATTCTGCTTGCGATGTTCAGTATCGACGTCGACCATCTCAGCTACGGTTCACGCTTTTGCAGTCCGAGCGACGTCGCTACTGAAAATTGCGAGCGAAATCTCATCATGTGAATCAGGCTTTAGCGTACGTTCTGCGGCGTCCACGCGGAATGAATCGCCGCATGCCAGATTATTCACGCGAAGTTTTGCGGTGTAACGAGCCTCGTTAATTTCGCTGACGCTGCTCAAGTAGTCAGACATCGTTAGGAGGACATATAATCAACAGTTCCAACGCGAAAAAGAGCGCGGGGACTCACACCGGCGCCGACAACATCGCATTTCAATGGTTTGTTTGTGGGCGACGGCGAGCTTTTTGCCCACACCCCAATCGCGCATGCGCGGCGCCGGTGGCGTCCGCTAGGGGCGCTCCGGGCGCTCCGGTTTGTTTGTAAACATGAGTTGGTGTATAGCGGTCACACACAAATGGACATCGTGGACGTGATTGTCGATGCGTCACGAAGCGGGTGACTTGTGTCGGTGGGGGAAAACGTACTTATCACGTAGTCACATCTAGTTTATTATCGGAATCGGATTAGATTACATCGTTGAGTTGGAACTTAGAACCTCATGGCGGTTGCATGGAACAAGAAGACTGGCGCCTCGTGTGCGAGCCAGCGTTGCTAAAAGTTTTTTTGGGGCGAAGTCGCCAGTCGTCGCCGAGTGGTGGTGGTGATAATGATAATGACCTTTTTCGTTTTTTTTTTTTATTGTATAAGACGTGAAGGTTTTTTTTTTTTTTTTTTTAATATTTTAAATTATTCTTTGTGGTGACGAGACTAGTGAATAGTCGGAGTCGGCCGTCCCATTCCTAAGAGATTGGCCAACACCTTGAGTGACTCAAGGCGTTGGCGAGAAGATGCTGGTCCATGAACAAAACAGCGGAAGGCTGTTCTGCTTCATCCTTATGGAACAAAACTCTCACTTCAACATGCATTTTTTTTTCTCCTACGGTTACAATGCATTCTTTTAGACACCTGATAATCCCTGAAAAATGGAGTGGTTCTAAACTGGTTCGGGGTCGGAGAATGTTTTCGTTTTCGCGTTAACCTGCATCAACCAACGTCACCTCACCCACAACAGGATGAATAA